TATTTTATAATATATTCTATTTGCTCACACTTCATTGTGTGATATTTTTTAGGGCTAATTATGTTAACTATTAGTCTATTACATAATTTAAATTGATTTGTGATCATAGAAAAAGGCAATATGAGCAAGTCTGTTAAAATACTAACTACCAATTATCTGGATTGGCATGCCAAATTAACTGGATTACCAAGTATTTTGTCAGATAAGATTCATTCCAAATTATACAAAAGAAACTGGCAATGAGCCATGGCAATTATCAGAAGTACATGAATCAGAAGTCATAAATTTGATGCCAGAAAATAAAGTATCATCTTTTCCCAAGCAATGTGAAAAAGAAGGGCCTATCACTTTCGAAGCCAGACCCATTCTAGAATTAATTATCAAATCCGTCTTAGAGCACTTCCCATACTTGAAATTCTGAAATAGTTTTAGAGAAATTGATAATTATAATTTTGTATCCGCTCAGCCATAGAGCTCACCATGCCCTATTTGTGATGGAAAACATGGGAATTATAGATTACATGGTGAATGATATAGGAATGGAACAGAATATTGTCTTACTTGCTTCACTTCAAGCAATAAACTCAAATTTGCAATTGTAGCATAGGCGCGACGAAAGATTTTTTTTCCAAATACAGTTAACTCTTGATATAGCGAACTCTTGATATAACGAATTTTTTGAACAAATATAATAAAAAAACTCTTGTTATAGCGAATTGGTTAATAAAATCTCTTAAAATCTTCACTGTAGCCTTATAGCGAAGTTGAGGTCTAGGACATAGAGTTCGTTATAACAAGAGTTGACTGTACAGTCCAAGTTCTCTATAGCAAATCTTGATTTCTAGAGGTTATGATTCGTTATAATAAAAAAATTCGGTAATGATTTACCAAATTTTAAATATTTATTCGTTATATAGTAATACCGAATATCTTATCCAAATTCAGTATATTGATAATAATAAAAAATGTTATATTTATATATATTTAGAAGGTCAATTAGTAATTGATTTTTTAATTGAATACAATATAAACTCAGCACAACTTTATTACAAGTTTTCACTTTTTCATTACAAATAAACTACTGAAAAACCCTGCTATTCTTTATTAGTAAAACACGATTCCAAAGTAATTTGCTGTTTAGAATGAAACTCTTCTCGTTCTACTACTTTACGCGTTTTTTTTAAGACTCGAATTTGATCTTTTAAAAAATCCATTTTATCAGATTTTTGTTTCATATATGCGATTACTTGATTGAGTGCTATTAGTGCTTTATAATTACTGATAATCGAAATTTCTGGCTCTTCGATATTTGATTCTTCAGGTTCTTTCATCATTTCTATAATTTCTTTATCAGTTATCATTTGATGGTTTGTTTCATCTTTTTCATATTATAAATATTCTTCTGCAGAAATTAGGTTTCGTATATATTAGGAGTTAATCAGTCAATAAGATCTTATATTTAATTCATTTTGTTATAATCATCAGTAGGATCTGTAAAATTATCGATACTTTCATTATTATTCGTATCATTCGTATCATCCGTATTTGGTGGAAGAATACCAGTTTTTTTCCAACCATTTATAATAGTCTTTGATTGAATTAAATCCCATGCTTTTGCTACATATTTAATTGCTTTTTTTATTGTAATTTCAGGTATAAGCTGACCAGTTTCTTGACTATTATCGAATGCTTTAATATGATTTTTTAAAAATAACTTTCGGTATTGTGCCTATATTTATTATTTTATTAATAAGTTAATTTTTTTTTAAATTTTTTATAAGAAATTACTTACTTTAAAACTATGAATAATTCTAGCGTCACATGGTTGGAGATGTGAAGTTGTATTAGGAGGTAATTTATGAAGATGAATATTAGAAAGTATAATATCTTCATTCAACTTGTGAGTAAATGCACCATCATAAAATAAGATTATATGCCTATTTTTAAGTCTTAAGCATGAATCAAAAAGCTTTAGCCAATCATTCCAAACACTAACTTGCATATAGGCTGTTTTATTCTAATAGTATTGCACTGGCAATGATGATTTTGAAATATTTTTTAAGACACGCAGATTTTGACATTTTCTAATAAAAACTGCCTTTACTTTTTCAGTTCCTGAGACATTATAATATAATACAACAGTAACACGTTTCTTGGATTTTTTTTTACCTACAACTATGATAAGTATTATTTTAATTTTCATCTAATTATTTATATTAATTTTACAATAATTAATATTTAATTTACCTGGACCAGTTGATAAAGTGCGATTTGATTCCATTTTCCAATAAAGTCCAGTTTCATCTTTATTAAAGATATCATTAGGTGAATATTCTTTAAGAATATTTTGAAGATCTCTACACATATTATCTAAATCTTCTAAAGGAGCACTTGCTGCTTCACCATGTTTTATATAACATTCAAGATTATGGCATTTTTTAAAACCTACTATCCATCCATTGGATCCTTTAAAGCCTTGTATATTGAGTAATATTGTAAAATCACATGCTTTTTGTGCTAATAATTTGCCATTAATAGTAATATTATTATCTATGGCTTTTTCAACCCAAAAGCCCAAAGCTTCTTCAATTTATGGAAAACTTGGCTTGATCTGTCTTTTAAGTGAAACTTTGTAAGAATCTAATTTTAAAGCTAACTAATTTTCACTTTCTTTTAGAATATCACATATCATTCCCTTCGAAACATCAAATTCTTTAGCAAGTTCTTTATTTTTAGGTGCTGGTTTCTGTAATTTTTTTAGACAAACTGTTTGTTTTTGAGCACCTGTAAGAGAGGCTCTAGTTCGTTTTACATTAGAAGCTTTCTCTTTGCCTTTAGATAAAATTTTTTTTCTCTTTTCTTTAGGCATTTTAAATAATCAATTGATTATCAAAAAATTTTACACGATCATTTAATTTATCTATTAATAGTAATTATAAAAAATTCAGGAGGATCAGCGTTCCTAGTTCAGTTGATAACAACTGAACTCCTATTGTGGGTTACACTGTGATAGCTATAAGTTCAGGCCTTAATTGAGGCATAAAACTAGATGATTTTCATAAGAATTTCATATGTAACTGAACATGTAGGTGTATAGACTAATATGTGTTAGAAACTGGTTGATCGATTTGTTGATCAATATTTATTATGCCTAAATACTGGATTTGAAGAACAAGTGGATGCAAATGAAACCAAAGATCGACAGAAACTTGGCCTTCGCTGATAGATCTGTAATGGATACTGTCTTACGTCTTCAAATTTCAAGGATCCTTACACAAGTAAAGAAGTGGTAAACCAGTCATTAGTAGATCTGAAGTGTATTACAGACTGACTTGCATGCCACAGCTGTAGGCCAGATCTTGTTACCATTAGGGTTAGAGGTCAAGTTCAATTCCTGGATGAGTTTGACGCTATGAGTACAAAGCTACTATTTATATAAAGAATCTGATCCTTTGATCTCAGAAGTTAACAATAGGTAAAACCCTATAAGTGTTTAGTAAAAACAGTGCGTCAATCACTGTGGCTGAAGTGAGCCCTCTATCCAATTCTGGTAACCAGTAAAAATCCATTTGAGGGTCAGTTGATACGAAAAACTGGGTCAAACCCAGTTGACTGTAAGACTATACACTGATGGCAACCCGCATAGGTAGGTGTAAGTAACGAGGTTGCATGTTGTTCATTCATATGAGATCTAAGAAGAAAGGCAGGTTAGACATTGCAGTCTTTCTCAACCTTTATCTTCAAAGTGACGTACCGTAATAAAAAAAAATTGTAAAAAATTCATTATATCCCTTAAATTTATTGCGAAAATTTGTTAAAAAAATTCGTTATTTATTATAAAATTCATTATAAAAAAAAATTGTTAATAAAAGATTCATTTTATTATGCTTATATAGATCTTCATATTCATTATACGTAATAGTAAGATTTACTATAAAAATTCATTATATTTAATAATTTTATTTAATAAAATTTGGTACCACCCATGTGATTCACAATAGCATAAAATTCGTAATACAAAAATTCGCTATAGAGAACTTGGACTGTACATATCATAGGATGAAGTTTGTTTGATTGGCTAATGTAGATCAATTGAATTTATATGTTATACAGTACTTTTTGGGAAATAAGGTTTTATATAATAAAAGAATAAAATTAAATTTATATATTGCTTCATTGAGGTATTAAAATACTACTTTTAAAATAAATCTCTTATAATCTTATATTTAAGGGACATTAGCTTAATAACGACATTTCATAAATAGGTAAAGAAAAGAGACTCAAAGGACCATGTGCTATAGATATTTACAAAGAAAATCTTTAATATGGAAAACTGTTACTAGTCTAGTTCTATCTAAGGGAACGAATAACAAAACTCTTTCTAATTATATTAAAGAAAATAATATTATATGTTTAGATTGTTATAATGCAATTGTTATAAATGTGTCTTCTGAATTTCAGCAACATGCGTTGAATCAGCATTGTCATAGTGAATCAGAAACTTCTAATAATATTTTATTTTTTTCACAAACTATAGGTATACTTACGGATATTCTTTATGAAAGAGAACGTAAAGAATTATCACCAATTTGGATATTTAAAGAATTTCGTGAGGTTATGGAATCAGAAGATAAATGGTTGGAAACTTTCTTTGATGAATTATATTTATCAACTAACCCATCAAGAAAAACAAAAATACAATGGAAAAGGTATTAAAGCAACTAGTATTTTTGTGTTATTTTATTTGTGGTATTAGAAACAAGTTTGTTAACAATGCAAAAAGAGATCTAGGAATGTATTTAGATTCTACTAGAACATCAAATTCAACAATAGACACCATGGCAACGTTAGGTCTAATAATAACATCTCATTCAATTTCCTACCACAAGAATACTGTATCCGAAAATCATCTGACAACTGTAGAATCAAGTCTTGCAGATAGTACAAATGATGCAATCATTTTAAATATTGACAATTATCATAGTATTCACACTAAAAGAATGCCTAACACAACCACAACATCAACTGCAATACATCTTACCACTATTCTACTTAATCCAATTAAAAATGAATCAGTAATATCAAAACAAGATATTCATAACTCTGTATTAGTTGATGCTTCGTTAATCAAAATTGGAATTAAAAATTATTTTATGTCAATATATTCAATTTCTCATAACCGACGCTGAGGATTTCATTTTGTGAATGATAAAACAAAGTTCGAAGAGTTAACAGTTCATAGCTATGATGTTCGTTTAAAAGAAAAAAGAAGCACTAGATTAATAAAAGATACTGTACTTGTGGATCTTATGGAAAATAATCTTTATTCGATAGAAGCTTATATTAATACTATTAACGTTGTTACTTCCATTCCAACAATAAATAGATATATTAAAGAAGGCAATATCATTCTGATTGTCACTAATTGGCCCAATCAAATATTCTTAAGAACTGCTATATCACAGTATCTTGTTTATGATAACTCATCTGGAATCATTGACAATATTTTATCATTTCTTCCAATGATAGGTCCTCTGCATATTTTACTGAATAGTCGTGAATTAATATTTCTCTAGTATTAACCATTTTTCTCAGCAATATATAAATATATATTTGGTAAAAAAAAAATACTCACTCAAAAGCTGAAGCTGTGGTGTATAAATTTGCTACTAGAACTCTTACGCAGTGCATGGCAATAAATTGTAATAATGGTTGAATTAAAATTTGATCATATGTGTAAAGATGCAGAATATGTAACACTTAAGGATTTGCTAGATAATACAATTTCTCTGGTTCTTGATATTTATGCTCTGTTTTTTCATGCTGGTGATTATAACTCTTATATTGAATCTTATTTTCGCGTTTGGTCTATTTTTTTAAATTCAACTGTAAAAATTATACTAAAGTGTCTTTGATGTTTCTTTCAGATATTTTTTACTGGCAATCAAAAAATCATTTAATTTTAAAGACGATGAATACTGAATTACCAAAATTCTCTGATACGCCTGTAGAAAACTTTCACAGTATTTTATGACACAATACAGAAAAGCATCTTACGGCAGACCAAATAATAAAAGAAGCATGATATATCAATTATTTACGATTTAATAATGATGGCTTTAAGGAAAATTTTATTCATACTTCAACTTGGGTAGTGTATCAGTATTCTTCTCGGAATATTGTAACTTTGACACAAAAAACTGCATGCTTTCTTTTAAACTGTTTCTCAGATATTTATACTCATATTTATCATAAGAAAATTCAATTTTTAATTCTATCACAGGTTGCTATAAATCGTTCACTGAAAAAGAGTAAGAAAGCCAATGCTGAAAACAGCTTTCCTATTCTGGCAATAAAGATGAAGGAAGCGTGGCTTTGTCATCTACCTATAGGATATAGTTTTTCATATAAACCTAGTTTGTCTGGTTGCGATTTTTCTAGTTGTTCTATTACTAATATTACAATTACTATAGAAACAGAACAGATATTACCTTGTGACCATGTGTATCATAACATATGCTTCAGCTGAGATGGATCCAAATGCTTGCATTGTTTAAATTACATCAAGGATGGTGTTGACAAACATGTTCAATCACTATTGGATAGTCTATGCTGACTTAAATCAAATAACAATATTGAAAGTGAAGAGTCCGATTCTATTTCTAAAGATAATTACAATGATACTAAGGAATCAGCCGATGGCATTTCAGCTTCTTGGAATGATACCATATCATGATTTCTTCTACTATAGTTATAATGATCATTTACAATTAGAAGAATCGTATTGTTTTTTTTCATATGTAAAAAAAAGATTTATTAAAATAAAAAAATTTTTTTGAACACAAAATCTATTTTTCTTTATTTGAATCAATAAAATAAACTCAGTTGGCTAGGTAAAACCATATTAAATTTGACTTTAATATAATCTCAATATGACCTCAATATAACCTCAATATAACCTCAATATACTCAATATAATCTCAAATTTTATCACGTGATAATCATGTGACTTAAAATCAGCCAATCAAATTTTACAAAATCTTAAAATGATCTACACAAAATTAGCCAATCAGACGAACTTCTTCCTATGACTGTACATATAAAAGGTGCCGGCGAAAAAAAAAATACTGAAAAGGAAACTTCCGGACAAGACATTTATGCAGTTAAGGTGGATTTACCTTCAGTTGTATTATGTATTTGCAAGCTAATAGACAATTTTTTCATTTAGGATTTTGAAAGCATAATTATCTGATAAACCTAAGTACATATCTCAACACAATTTCGTCATACAAAAATAAGGTGAATAATAAAAAATATGATCAAAATAATATGTTGATTTTATTTAATAATAGGTGCAAATGGTGGAATTTACGCGTCTCTATGATGGAATGATTATTAATGATTGCAAATGATCTTATGACATAATATGATACTTACCTGTAAATGACGTAAATAAAAGTATAAAAAGTATATTTATACTCTCCAAATTCTCCAAATTCTCCAACTCTGTTTATTCTTCGCTCTAAATTATGGGTACGTATATGGTACTAAGTTGGTTTAAATAAATCACGTCACTAGACTTCTATCCGCCTCCCGACTCATGGGAGTGCAGTACTTTCTATTCGCCTTCCGACTCATGGGAGTGCAGTACTTTCTATTCGCCTTCCGATTCATGGGAGTGCAGTACTTTCTATTCGCCTTCTGATTCATGGGAGTGCAGTATTTTCTATTCGCCTTCTGATTCATGGGAGTGCAGTACTTTGAAGTGAATTTATGGATCAACTTACTAGTTTTTTTTTATATATATATATTTACAGATTCCAAGTTACCAGCCTACACAAAACGACTTTGTTGCACCAAGCCAGAACTTACCGTATATATGTCAGGAACTATAAAAGGCGTTAGCCACGAAGATTTCGAAGATTAGTTAAAAAAAATTGTTCCACCAACTTTACATTTTGAACACGTAGCTAAAAAAGAACAGAACATGTGGGGCCATGTCCATTTCGGAACTCATGAAGACGCATCAAAATTCTATTATACCATGGAAGGGAAAACATTTTCTGGGAAATCAAAGGATTCTGTCCAATTTGAAGTTAAATTTTCTAAAGCAACGTACTATAAGACCGGAAAGACGGTCGACTATGTTATTGTTATTGAAGAGGTAAGTTTTCAAAACTAGATATATCATACACTTGAGTCTTGACTCTTGAGATTTATTTTCTTTAATCAGGATACTCCATATCACCAGTATCACCCGTATGCATTATTTGTGTTACATGAAAATTGTCAAAGGTCTGTAGTCTACTGGTTTATTATGTTATTTGACATTGCGCATAAACTAAATTTTTTTCTCTTTTGATAGTTTTTATGTGGTCAAGTTTTTATACCCCAGGGGTAAATAACAAAGAACAAGTGGAAATCGATGTTAATGATGATAATAAATCTATTACTATTATTGCAAGAGGTTTGGAGATCGAACAAAGTGAAAATGTGATTTTTAATAACCTTCCAACAAAATTTGTAGTAAATATTGACATACAAAAAAGGTAAGTAATGTCAGTTGTATATTGAATGGTCAATGGTCATTTATCTCATCATAACATGCTTTCTGAATAGGGTGAATTTAAAAGAAAGGGCAAACGTCATCATGGAAAATGGTGTAACAACCGTGCAATTTAAGATGTTGAATAACAAAAGGAAGATTCAGATTGCTTGAGATTTAGTATACACCGTAAATGAATTAATTCAATTGCTTATTTGATAATTCTAAATTCTTAATTTATTTACGGCCATAGCACAATGACCATTAATAGCATTTAAATATGGTGATTCATTATTTGTAATCTCTTAAATTCGGCGGTTGAATTTAGTTAAAAAAAATAAACCTGCAAATCGCGACAAAATAAACCATTCCACCGAAAAATATTTCAAATTTTTTTACGAGTGAAATAAAACGCAACCTTAACATCATATAAAAATTTTTACTTGGCATTTTCCGGGCTCAGAAATTTCTTGGCAAATTTGCCGATACGGAAAAACACGGGATTTTTTATTTATTTTTATTTTGACTCTATTACATATTTTCACGGGTAAATATTGGCGAGAAAAAAGCAAAAGGTATGATTTATGACAATCTTACTAAACTCCTCCCTTCTGGTACTAAACGTAACACAATAGTAAAACAAACTCAGAAAATAAAATCAAGTATATCACAACGTATAGTGCGAATTCTATATTGGAATTATCTGATAGTCAAATTCAAACTATTGTTGATTATTTCTCTGAGAATCCTAACACTGAATTACCTGATGATCAAGAAGGCTCTATTATCGATTCTGAAGAGGAGATTTCAGATGATCGGACTAATGCATCTACCACATCTGAGGTAAGTGTCCCAACTACACCTATTCCTTCAAGTGAGACGAATCCAGGCAATACTTCCAAAACTGAGGTAAGCAATTCGCTCGAAGCTGTGAACGATTACTACAAAATGATCTTGGAAGAATGTGCGAAGGATTGTGAGTATTTTGATAAGGAAATCGATTCCACGTCCCAGTCAGTGAAAGAAACAGACGAAAGTAGGTCAGATGATGAAAACAATTCTAGTAATTCAGAAGAGGTGACTGATGATCAGGTTGACGATGACTCCGACTCCGATGATGAGTATGATCACGAACTTCATGAAAGGCGTTTGCTTAAGCAAACAGAAATGACTCGATTAGCGAAGTTAGAGGAAAAAACACCAACTGAGCCTGCCGATGACGATTTTGATAAAATACTCGTGGAAATTCACAAGAACTGTGATATATACTTTGATGATCCCGTACCTCAGTCAGTAATGAGTCCTACCATCTCTCCAGTGACTGCCTAGGATACTCGCTTAGACTGAATTATGTGAAATCATATATTATCTATTTCTTTTTTTTTCCGAATTATGTGGGTGGCTTAGATCGATCACCTGGCCGAAGGCGCTAAGGCAAATGCGCAGAAGATATCCAGTAAAATTCGTGCCAGAGAATAGGGGCTGTGCGATGTAAGATTCGTATACATTGTTTTTTTTTATTCCGATAGATGATTCTGGAATAGACTAATTTTTCCCGGAATAATCTCA